TCACTAGACGACTCACTATTCCTTTTTATACGGATAAATATTACTCTAAAGAATTCAGCATTATCTTATTCGACTACCGTATTAATATGAATGTACAGGTAATTTTTGATTTATGAATACAAAAACGATATGCCTTACTATTTATTGCATATCTTATGAAAACGGAATCAACTAGTTTCCGATCCGTATTATTTACCTTTTCGGTTTACGGTTAAAGTTAAGTCACTTACCCAATAACTACCCCCTACCCCCCCCCCCCCCCACACACACACTTGGAAATATTTCAAGTTGGATTTTCTTCCTTTCATTCATTTTTCATATGAAGGATTGCGTTTTGCTATGGGGAATTCAATTGAGTATTCAGTTAGCTGTAAGCATTGCTTTCCCCCACAAGTTTTGGGTAAATCAGAACTTATCAACTAGACATTCATCATCTCCTTTAACGTTCTACTCTTTCTTTCCGCAATTCCATTAGATTGTGCAAAGTAAGGGGCAACCGTTTGGTGAATAATGCCATATTCCAAACATATTTCTTCAAACGCCGCCTCTATTACTTTGTAGAGCCAACAACATGAACTGTTGTTTGTGTCATAATATAGTCAGAATAAATGGTGAAGCTTTTTTAATCTTCAAACCAATTTGACACCATCAGAATTAATAAACGGTGAAGTTTTTAATCTTCTAACCGAGTAATACCTAATACCGGATCTAATACACGGTGAAGTTTTAAATCTTCAAACCGAGTAATATGTGACACAATTAAATTTAATAAACAATGAAGTTTTTAATCTTCAAACCGAATAATAAATTAGAGTATAAAGTCACTTAGACTTTAATTTCCGACAAATGAGTAGAAAGTCACGAAGACTTTAATCTCAATGAATGAGTAAAAAATCATGCAGATTTTGATCTCGAAGCATGAGTAGAAAATGACGAAAATTTTATTCTCTATAACGAGTGTAGAGAATCACGAGAATTTTAATTCCCTTTCCAAATGATTTTTCAACTAAACCATTATAACACTTAAACAGTTCAATAGTTTCATCTTTTGCTCTAATCAAATAAATATATATATACATCTTTACATATTACTTTCATGATCTCAAGAATATTTTCAAAAAGAAAAAATTAGTGTAAGTCTCATTCATGTCTTACAACTTTGAAAATAATACCCATATATGTTCATGCATGTTACCAAAGTACATATATTTCATTTGGTTAAGAAATAGCAAAATTAACCTTTAATCATATGTTATTTCTAATCATCATAACATGCAAAAATCATATAAAATTACTTGCCCTAACATTTATGGAAGCCGATTTCATTAATCATATAGAATAAAATAATTTAATAATAATAATAATAATAAAATAGAGCCAAGAAAGTAGAACCCGAATTTTGTTGCCAACTTAAAGTGTTGTTGCACTCTGCAATCTTTGCCATGTTGACACAAGGATTGTCAGGTTTATAATCTCCTCTATTATAATCACCAAAATAAACCTTGAGAAAATTATGATGACCAGCCACATCAAAAATTAAATTCCTTAAGATTGTTGGTATTACTGTGTTCAAAATCAGAAAAGTAAACAAACGTTAGTTCAATAAACAAAACGTAAAATAATTCCGAGCCCACTGAATGCGCAATGTATCCTTAAGGAATTTAATCCCCTCACTGTTGCCCAAGGTATACGGATTAATTCCTCCAAGGATAGAACGGAATAACTATTCTGTGATAGCGACACTTCAAATCACAGAACTTCAGCTAACTCAACAAACGGAGCAAATCACACTTGACACTTATGTTTATTTAGAAAATAATGCAACAATGTAGAAAAGAGGGGAGAAGATTTCAGATTTTACATATCTGATTTCATGTCTAAAAAATAAGGCCAAGCCTCTAAATTTATAGACAAAGGAAGGGTGATATGGAGAGGTGCAATCTAAAAGGTGTCTCTTCCATTTCCCATTCACCCCCCTTAATAAAAACGCAACAGTTATGATTGTCATGTGGCCACTTTCTCTCCTCGGTAAATCAGTTTCATTTTCTTTGTGGAGGTCTTGGGGGTGTTTGGGNGGGGGGGGGGGGGTGTGGAGAGGAAGATGGAAGAGAGAGATTCGAATAAAAAAATTATAAAAGAAAGGTTTTTCTTTTTACTTTCCACGTGTCACATATTGATTCGTTATTTATCATGAATAAAAGGCGTTTGAAAACACACGCTTAAGTTGTTCCAGAAAATATGGGATACGTGTTTAATAGGTACATTGAGTTCAAGTTCAAGGGTTCAATAGGAACAAAGCTTAGTTTAAGTGTCTAAATGAAAAAAAGGGACAAGCTTGAGGGTTTGCATATGTATTTGGCCTAGTACTAAATTACACCGTGAGAGTTGATTACACCCTACCATGGAAAGTACGACCACTTTTCTACTAGTTATTGTAATCTTGTAAAGAAAAATGGGAGGCAGCACCCACCACCAGGGAGAAAGAAAAGCAGAAATGCAGGCTGCTTTAGTGTTCAAGAAAGGGTGTAATGGTTACAAGCTTCAATGGTTAGTAGAGAGTTTTTAGCTAATTTGTAGATGTGTTAGCAATGTGAGTTGCATGCATTAATGAAAAATCATGCCTTGTCCAAATGATCCATGCATAAGAAATCTTTCAAGCATTTACACCAATCTTTTAAGCATTTACACCAATGAAACAATTCCAAAATACTTTCAGCAGATGATAAGCATCATCCAATGAATCAAAAGCCATTTCTTTCTTATATTTTTTTTTTGTTTTGTTTTCGCTACGTGTTGCTGCGTGTGCAAGGAAGAAGCATAGCCCTTGTTCTGACCAGAAACCAAGAAGAAAGGAAGTAAAGAAACAGAATCATAGAACTGCTCTTGCAACTGTTCCAGTATTCCATCTTTGCTTCTGCTGATTTTCTTTTGGAACTCTTATCGCATTACCAAGCAACATCCTGTGAGCCATCCTTCCTCTGCTACCAATGGAGACCCTAACTTTCTCCGCGCCCACATTCACGCCAACTCTTCTTATGTACTGCTGCAGTGGAGACTTGAACTGCATTTTCTTCTGAAGGCTTCGTCTCAAGACACTGTTGAGCTTCTTGCTCACACTCTTAAGCTCTTTAGGACTACACTGTGGTGTTGGTTCAGGTAAGCAATTTGAATCGACCCCCTCAGCATCTTCCGTCTCCTCCGCTTGTATTGATCTCAATGGTAAAAGTGAAGGAGTAAACTTGGTTACAGGTGCTACATAGCGCAGTGGAACCAGAGAGTTACGGCGTGGAGCAGGTTTAGGCAAAATCCTGTTTGCAATCGGGCACATAGAAGCTCGCCCAGTCCTCTTCGGAACAACTAATTTTTCATCAATATCTGGATTGTTTTCCTTGTTTTCTTTTTCTGACAGGTTATTCTGCTTAAACGGACAATCCACAGTAGCAGAAGCCATAGAGAGTTTGTGGAAATTGTTCTCAGTAAGCGGTCGAGTAGTATTAAGTGGTGGATACTTATTTTCATCACAAGTCTTTTGAGCAGAAATTTTGTTGGCAAATGGTGGCCTCGTCGGTGCAGCTTCTTGCTCCTCATTCTGTTGTCCAATAAGCTGTTGCTGAAATTGTTCAGCAATTTTAGAGTTCACGTGTTGTCGAGCAAGTTTTCTCTCTACAAGCAGCTGTGATTCTAGTTCTTTAATCTGCACATCATATTGATAGACTAATCAGCTAAATACCCATATGATCACAAACTTCACATAAGATGATTCTTCACATATCTGTTAACTGTTAAGAATTGCAATTTATACCTTGTCCTGAAGGTTTTTGTTTTTCATATCCTTTTCTTTCAACTTAGCATCCAAACCATGAATTGTATCCTCCATCTTTTTCATCTGAAAATCTTTGTTTTTCATATCTTGTTTGCCCTTTTCAACCTGTCAAGGTAAACAAATGTTCCAGAAGGCAGGAAAATGATTACTTCTGTGGAAAATTTCAACAAAACGATGTAAATTTCAAGAGAGAAATTTACGCTACCATCTGTTTGTATTTCAGGAGCTCCATACTATCCACTTGCTTCTTTGCTGGACCTAGCTCTATACCTCGAACTCGACTTGCAAAATTTAATGAGCAAAGAGTCTCACTCAAGTCATTCTCATTTGGACTGATCTGAACAAACATCAACGTCTTTGAATCCCCTCCTGTAAAATAGAAGTCCTTATCAAATCCTAGTTGTTTATATATTCTTCTGAAGTTCATGATTCAAGCAAGTCAAAGGGAAATACCTAGTGAGTCTTGGAGCAAATGAGTAAGCTTCGAGTTCCTATTAGACGAAGAAGAAAAGAAAAGAAAATCAGAGAGCAAGATATTTCCAAATAGATTGAGAATTTGTACACGAGTATTGCAAGTACCGGAATGGAATATGCGAGCTCTTTGTTGCAAGTGAAGATATCACATCTCCAAGGGCAGATAGAGATCTGTTTATATTTTGGGTTTCTTTTAGCCTTTCACCCTGTACTTCTGTCTTTGCTATCCTCTCACTTCCAGCTAGATCAATTAGCCAAAGTTTGCTTCTTGTGCATTCCCCATTTAGCAAATTCTCTCCCTTTACCATTACACAAAGTATACTACACACACACACACACACACACACCACGTACCTGATTAGTAATTGAGGACATAATGTGTAAACAAATGAAACCTTCCGTAAAATTACGATGCACAAACCAATGTGATCGGCTGCTGTGCTCATTTGCATTGGTTGATCCAACTGCCCTCGCATTGCTACCAGTTTGTAAGGCTTCCCAAACCTCAGTCATATTATTCACGTGGGCCTCAACTAGTCCGGGGACATGATGCATTCCTTCTCCAACTTGCTTTATTTCAAGCCTAAAACGAAATCACGGGATCAACATGAAATTGTATAACTCCATCTAGCTTCTAAACAAAGTGAGCAAATATTTTATAGCTACCTTTTCACGCCTTGTTGAGATCCTGAAACTAGCAAATCTCGGATCTGCTCATTGTATACTTCCAAGACGCTTACTGATATTTCGTAATGAACTGTGTTCTTTCGCTCGTCAATAATGCGAAATAGCTCCTCAAGAGTCCGGTAATTGACCCCTCGAGCTTCTTCTGTGCCCTCCATCGTAAATGTCTTGCCAGTACCAGTCTGGCCATAGGCAAATATGCAGGCATTGTACCCATCTAGAACTGAGGTTGCCAGGGGAGCAGTGTCCTCAAAAACTTCAGCTATTATAAAAAGCAAGAGGAAATCATGTGAATAGGGAGAAAATGACACACCCTCGAAGTTATTGGTTCCTATACAGGTTATTTAGGCGATTACGCTGTTGCATCTTATATTATGAGCCTTTTTTGTACAGTGCTATTTAGACACAATAAGAAGGGGAGCCTGGAGCAATGGTCAAGTTGTCTTCGTGTGACGATCACGAGTTCGAGCAGTGGAACCAGCCACTAGTATTTGCACTAGGGTAGATTGTCCACATCATACCTCTTGGGGTGCGACCCTTCTCAGACCCTGCGTGAATGTGGGATGCTTTATGCATCAAGCTGCCCTTTTTTTATTTAGACACAATAACTTCAGATATATTTATAGAAGCTGTTACATGGTGACGGAAAAGAGTTGCTCCATATTTCTGTTTCTTTTTTCTGATCTTTAGGAGTTTGCCATAATTTCTTACTTATTAGATTTATATATTTATAATAAGAGAATTTCTTATACAGTAAAGAATTTTAAAAAACTGATTCTTGCTTGGGTATCAATATATGAAATTTTGGTATTATTCTTGTTTTGTCTTACTCCCATATTTCTATTATTACTTGATGTTGCTCCGGCTTTGGTTTTTGTTACTATCTTGCTGTTGTGCTTGCTGCTTCTTTCCATGTCTTTTTCACTACTATATTTCTTTTTCTTACTGCTGAGATTATGCTTGCCTTAAGGCTATAGGCTATTGGAAAACAACCTCTCTACCTACACAAGGTAGGGGTAGGGCCTGCATACACACTACCCTCCCCAGACCCCACTCGTGCAAATACCCTGGGTACGTTATTGTTGTTGTTGTTGACTGAGGTAAATCAAATCATTATGTTTTAGTTCAAGCAAATGCCTCCAAAATAAATGCTTTGCCAACTCCATGAACCTTTTTATTTTTCTTGAGAGCAGATTACATTCCTTGGATTTAAAAGACCATTATAGTCAAATCACTTGTTGACAGCAATTATAAATTTAGTTGAAGTGAAAGCCTAGCATTATTCTGAACTTAGTCCCGCAGTACTCTTAGCTTAGCACAAAGCTCCTTAGTTAAAGGGATTGCTAGCACTAGTCTTCACTTAAACAAAAGATTTAGTTACCTTGGTCGGCTTGGGGGCTAAAAATGGCATCAAACTTGTAGGTCTTTTTAGACATGCCGTTAGACTTCACAGTGAGTTCCCCATCCTTTGCAGCTTCAAAGTCAATCGCCATTGAAGCTCCTGCAGCTGTCTCTTCGGCATTCAAAGGCCTGCACCGGCAAAAGACCCTAATGTTCCCTGAAGCAATCCAATAGAGTCAAAACAAGCATATGATAATAAACTAATTGCTCTTTTAAGTGTTGTAATTTACTTATCCCCTACCTTTTAAATCCAAAACCTTGTTATAAAGTTCTTTCTGTTCCTTAGCACCCTTGACGAACTTGATCTTGAGATCTTCATGCAATTCAACTTGTTCCTTTACTGTGATCATAATAAGAGGAATTACAAAGTCAAAAAAGGCGTTTTATTTCTAACATAACCGAACGCCAGTATCTACAAAAAGATTTACATTTGGACTGAATGGTAGAGCTCATGTCTGCAAAATCTGCTAGTAATTGCTGCTTATATAATAAAGCTTCTTCAGATACTTTAATTTGATTCATTTTCAGAATCTGCAAAATAAATTTGGAAGAAAATCAACATATTTGCTTATCGGATACAAGAAGCATATGAAACAGGAATCAAAGCTAATTACCTTCAATTTCCTCGTAAGATCTCGCAAGGATGAAAACCATCTGCTCTTTTCTTTCACTTGGCCCTCAATTGCAAAAGCTACAGGAGGCAAGTAATATCAGTATAGTATTTGTTTTGCAAAAGTTTAAAGCAATTCTGTTAATGCAAAGTAATTTCTGTACCGAGTGATCCAACGTGCATTGACTTGCGCATGAGCTCATTCTGAAGCTCCTTTAAGGACTTCCAAGCTTCAGCACATTCTTTGCATTTTTGTTCATTCTCCCTTTTAAGTTCCTCCACTGGCCTCTTTGCTTCTTTCAGTTCCTTTTCCCGACTCACTTTTGTTAATTGAAGCCTCTGATCTACCTGAATAATAGCAAAAACAAGCATATTAGTTCAAGCTTCTAATGCTTTTTAGCTACAGCTTTTCTCTTTTATAATAATGAATAGGCGAGTAAAGACTCAAACCTCCGGTGCGTTGTTTTCCGGAGAATATTTATCGTCTGAGAATTGAATGCCACTCTCAGAACCGATGCTAACTATAGGCACTGAAAGAGAAGGAAGCTCAAAATGCTGGCACAAATCTTCATCCTTTGTAATAACTGGGGGCTGCTCAGATCCCTTAATTCCATTTTCTAGAGAAATGGAGCAACCCTTCAGAAATTCGGGTGAATCTCCATAGCTTCGTCGTGGAATATCCGGTGATCCAGTACAGATCACTAAATCAGGAGATGTTAATGAAAATCCCAACATGTCTCTACCTAGTAAAATTCCAAGAAACAAATTACCTTCATCAATATTCAAAATCTTGAAAATCCTAAGATAAAGAATAAAAAAAATCAAGTCTTTGTACAATATCCTACCATTAATTACACTTTCTGCAACTGGATCCTTGAAATTTTCAGCATTACTCCCTTCTAACAAACAACCAATGCACGTAACATACTATAAATAAATATTAAAACAAAAACTCAATCTTTTCAAGAATTGTTTTGGGGGGGGGGGGGGGGGGGATGGGGGTTGCAGAAATTACCTTCAATCTTGATTGGAGTACAGTAATTAGAATCTTCCATCAATGTTACTGAAACATGCAATGAGGCAAAGGGGGTCAATTCAAAATGTCGAAGAACCCTAAGATAAAGAAATAAAAATCAAACCTTTTATGAATTTCCCATCACTAATTACACTTTCTGCAACTGGGTCCTTGAAAATTTCAGCATTACTCCTTTCTAAAAAAAAAAAAAAAATGCACATAAAATAAATTAGAAAAGAAATCAATCTTTTCAATATATGTCAAATAAAGGGAGTTTTGGTGCAATAGTAAAAGTTGTCGGTGTGTGGCCAGGGATCACGGATTCAAGTAGCGGAAACATCCCTTGTAGAAATGTAAAAATGCAAGGTAATGTTGTGTACCCGAATCCGCAGCATAGCGGGAGCTTAGCGAATCAGATAGCTTTCTTTTTCAAGAGTTGTTAAAAGGGGGCGCTTAATTACCTTCAATCTTGATGGGGGTACAGCTAGTAGAATCTTCCAGTCCCATCAGTGTATTTTTTGAAACATCCAATGACGAAAACGGGTCTGCCAAATAATGCGTAATTAAGAGAACAAAGATTATGAGAATAAGCTACAAACCCATGTAAAATTTGACACTAGTGTCTGTAAAAAACAAGTCTCTTACAGTATTTGTGAGAGTTAATTAGTAATAGTTGTTGCTCTTCTTGTTGTTGGGAAGAAACGTCTGTAATAAGAAGTGGATCTTGCCACTCATCAAGTTCCATTGATAAAGGGTAAGAGTTGAAATGAAAAGAGAAGTGGTAATCAAATACACTGAAAAAGAGAGGGGAAAAAGGGATTCAATTCTTTTAAATCTTAGAGAGACAGAGAGAGAGAGAAGAGAAAGAGAGAAAGAAAAGAAAGTTCCTTTTGAAAGGGCGTTGATTTCTCCATATGATGAAAGAGACGACCGTTGCTCTTTTTTGAAATTTGAAAATTCTAAACCGGGCCAAATAAAATGTTATTAAGGGGAAACAAATGCCAAAAAACCTAGGATTCTAATCAAAGTGTCTATTTAAGAAATAAAAGAAAATAAGAAGGAAAAAAAAGTGTCACTTATGTGAAGAAGAGTTTTCAAAACCATTATAATATTAGTTTGACATAGGATGTCTCCGTTTAATTGTCTATGACTTTTAACACTGAAATTTGAATTGTGTCACTTATCTTGCCTATCGAGTTGTTTGTTCCCATATCACTATTTTTGTACAAATATAAGAAAAATTATACAAATCATTCTACTTTTAGACCTATGTCCAACAATTGTGATCATCTGTACCTTACTTACTTAATTTAACTAATTCTTACAGAAATTAATTAGAAATTGTTATAAATAGAATTCTATTTATGGTGAATGTTTATATTTAGAGAGATTCTAGGGTTCACTGCTTGGTGGCTAAGTCACCATCTCTGATGTTCTAAACGTCAATACCACGCAAGAGGGGGGGTGATTTGTGTGGTACTCAATTTTCGCTCTAGAAAAACCTGGTTCTTCTAGGTGTACTTACTACTACTGTTTGCGGAATTAAGAGTACATAAAATAAAGAACACAGAGATTTTTACGTGGAAAACACCTGGCTCAAAAGGTGAAAAAACCACGACCTACTACTCAGTAGGATTTTCCCAAACTTCCACTAAAATCACTGAGCCAAAACAGCATTTACAAAACTCTTGTAAAGCTAAGGATTAAACTCTAATCCCAGTGTGGCACACAGCCTCAACTGTTGCGACACATTTAAGTTAGCCTATAACTTGAATACTCAATGTACCTATTACAATTGCTTCTACAAAAGCTGGAAAAGTACAACTTTAAACCACCTACTACAATTGAACTAGAATAAGAATAAACACAATGGAATTGGTTCTTCTATCTTGTCCAAGTAGCTTCAGGAATGCACACTTGAATCTCACATAAATTGCTTGCAAAATTGCCTCGCTCTTTTGCTCTCAATTTAGTTTCACTTCTGCGTTTGTGCAATCCCTGTAAAAGAGAACAATTACTGTTATTTAATGAGTTAGTAATCAGAGTTTGATTGAGACTCAATTGCTGATCTTCCATCGAAGTTGAGTCCTTGAACAATACAAACTCCAACCCTATCCTTTATCCGGATTGTGTCCTCTTCCCATGAGGATACTTTCTTTCCTCATCCAATATGCAACCTTTTCGATCAGTTCAGGAGATATTGCTGCTTTATCCTTGAGACTTATCTCCTTCACGTGTATCTCACATGTATAGGTTGATAAACACTGTGTCTCACATGATGGACCTGGTCCATGACTGAGTTCATTTGTCATTCTTCAAAACTTCACCTGAACTTGGGCCAACAAATTCCCCCTTTTTGATGATGACAAACTCTGTGCTTTTACTGATCAGAGAACCTGTGGAACTCAGCTTAATCATCAACACTTTAACTTAGAAATTTTAACTTATCATCAAGGACCAGGTTTAATCAGGTTATAAATATCACATTATTCAGAATAACAAGTAAAGCACAATATCTCTTCCCCTTTTGGCATCATCGAAAAGTTGCAAATATTGTGAATCCCAGATTTTAATAATTACTCATAGCCACTGGGGCAACTGCAAGTGAAAACATGGTTCAATTAATCAACAACCAACAAACAAAATTAACTATTAAGATCAGAATCTTCATAGAACAAGAGAAAAAGCAAATTGTCATTGATTAGGATATGTTTCCACAAACAGACCACAAAGAGAAAGAAAAACTTCCAAACATGAGCAACAAAAACAGAAAAAGTCCCGAATCTGGGTCACTGGGGTTCTAGATAGGTTCAAAAACAAGAACTGGAAGACCTAAGGCTTGGAGGAACTAGAGGGCTGGGTTTGGAGAAGGTTGAGCATATTCTTAAGCATTCCTTCACTTTTCTCCTTTTCTTTTGCTAGCTCAGCTCGAAGGCCATCTCTTTCAGCTTCCAAATCAGCAACACGAGCCTGAAGCCTAGCAATTTCAGCATCCTTAGTTCCACACTCCTGAACCAAAGCCCTAACCTTGCTATTCACTGGTGTCTTCAGAGATGAACCATGTTCAACTGGGGTGGCATTGACAGGATAGTCACAAGCCAATAAGGTCCTAACACCAAAATGCTCCTTGCTTGATGCCATCTCCCATTTCTTCAAAGGCACCCTTAGCCTGTCCAGCACAGTTGTGAGTATGAACCCATATGGAGTTGCCTGTACCTTGGATCCATTAATGACCCTGTCCAGTAGTTTGACAATAAAGGCAGGCCAATTTATCTGCTTTCCACTCTCAAGGCACTCCATAAGAACCAGGTCCATATAGTTGGCAGTATGCCTCCTCTCATGTCTGGGCAGCAGGCACTTGTTCACAAATTCAAATAAGACCTTGTGCTCAGGTCTCATCTCACTCTTCTGAATAAATCTGGCTTCAGGTACATCTTCAGCATTTGCAGCATCACAGAAATTTCTAGTAATTTGAAGAGCAGTGGGGAGAGATTCCAAGCATGGCCACCTCTGCCTTGTATAGTCATCATACCCTTCACTTGGTATGTCCAGAATCTCACCCAGTTTGATTGCATCAAACTCTACTTTTACACCCTGCACCATGCTGGAGACTACCCCATTTTTCACAGTGGCATTGGCCATGAAGTCAATCAGCTCCTTCCTGGCCAGCCTCCAATCCATTTCAAGGACCATGTCCTTCCACCCTTATGCAGTTAGGGTATCCACCAATCTTCTCATTCCTGGCTCATCCAGGTCTTTCAACAACCTGCCTTTCAAAAATTTTCTCCTGCCAAAGATGGCAAACCTATCCTGTTCTTTCTCAGACTCCTCTTCTTCTTCTTCTCCACTCCATTCTTCTTCTTCTTCAGTAATTTTTACATGTTTCCCTTTCACTGCAGATCTGGTTCTTTTGGCTAAGGAGGGTTCAGCAGATACAGGTGAAGAGGAAGACTTCTTGGAAAAAATCTTGGATCTTTTTGGTTTGGGAGTAGGAACTTCTTCAGTTGTTCCTCTTTCTTGATGGACCAGGTCCATCTCCTCTTCTTCTTCTTCTGCAATCTCAACACTCTCCACAACCTTAGCCTTTCCTTTTTCCCTCTGTTTCTTCCTGCTCTCTTCCAGAGCTTTCTGCAATTCTGCTTCACTTTGCTTCACCTTGTTTCTGGTAGCTCTTCCCTTTGGTACTGAAGGGACAGTAGGCTTTGGAGATGACACTTTACTTTTCTTTGTTGGCTTGGAAGCAGTTGGAGCCTTTTATGAGGAAGCTTTATGCTTCTTTGGATCATAGCTGGCTCCAACCTTTTTCAGAATGTCAGCTAGGGTTTCCTCAACAGAAGAACCTGGTTCATCCTGTTGCTTGCTCAGATGAACTAGACCTTCAGCAGCTTCCCCAGAACCACTTCCCCTTGACTTATTGCCACTCTCCTCCACACCTCCACAGATAGCAAGAACTTTTTCTTTCTTTTTACTTCCCTTCCTACTTGACTCAGCCCCCTTTACATCTTTCACAGAACCAACCAAAACAAACCTATTATCTACATTTTCAACCACATCAGAAAATACCAAACAAGTATTTACCTCACCAGGGGTTTCTTGATTCTTGTCAGTGTCAGAGGAAAAATGTTCTTCACCTTCGCTGGCAGAGATAAAAGCTTTAGACTCAGAGCTGGAGTTAGATTCTCTAGCAGAACTTTCCTTCTTCTAGCTAGCCCTCAATTTCTCATTTAGAGCTTTTCTCAAAGAACCAGAAGCTACAGTTTTTCTAGCCAACATTTTCTGCCGGCGGAACCTTGGTTTTGGGGTTTCACTAGGGGGTGTAGATGAGGATGTATTAGAAGGGGATACTGGTGAGGGAGTTCCAGGATTATCTTGGGGATTAGTCATGGTGGATTATTTCTGGAGAAGATTTTGGGAATTTTGGAGAGAAAAAGATAATCAGAACTGAGAGGATTTTTTACAGTTATGAAATAATGAAGAAGGGTGTGGTGAGTATTTAAAGATGATTAGAAGTAATTGCAGTAACGGAAGCTTTTTGTAGGAGTCAATTAGAAGTCTAATCACTTTAGAATTCCGGTCTCTTAGTGGTTAATAGGCGACGCTAGATTTTAGGCAAAAATCCCGTTTTCTTCAGAGTTCTAGGAGAATGAAACTGGTTCAATGCTCAACGGACAGAATTTCTGGGAATTTGATGAATGTAGGACTTCTGCTCATGATTGAAAAATTAATCTTTCTAATTGTGCAACGTATAGAAAACATACCTGAACTTTCTCATAAGCATATACTGATGAACCAGGTTCTTCAAGTAGAACTCTCTTGAACATGCCGCAAATGTCATAATAGAAAAAACTTTGTAAGAGATCAGTGAGTCATATATACACATGTCACAGGAGTATACTGACTAAAGTATGAAACTGAGTAAGAATTGATCTAGATATTTACACAATAGTTAGAACTCCTAACCAAAAAAAAATTCATTTTGTTTTTCAAATATTTTTTTTTTCATTGTGCATTCTGAACTGGACCTATTAGGTGATCTTAATCATCCCTAATTCCAACATGTTCCTCTCAAAGTTTTCTCTACTCAGTGCTTTAGTAAAGATATCAGCTATTTGTTTATCAGTAGCATAGAATTCTATTGAAATTAATCCTTTCTCATAGTTATCTCTTAAGAAGTGGTGTCTAACATCTATGTGCTTAGTCCTCTTAGGATGAACAGGGTTCTTTGTCATACTTATAGCACTAGTGTTATCACAGAATATTGGAATACATCCCACTTCAATTCCAAAATCTACCAGCTATTGTCTGATCCATAGTAATTGAACACAACAAGAAGCAGCAGCAACATACTCAGCTTCAGCAGTAGATAGGGCCACAGAGTTTTGCTTTTTGGTAGCCCATGACACAAGACATGAACCAAGGAAGTGTGCCATACCTGAGGT